AAATCAACGGGAAATCCCCAAAATCCCACAGGTGAGACCCCCTCCCCAAATTCACAAAACCCCAAAAAAATCCCGAAAAAAACCCAAAATAACCCCAAAAACCACGAAAAAAAACCCAAAAAACCCTCAATTCCAAAGGAAATCCCCCAAAATCCCACTGGGACCCCTCCCCAAATGGAGACCAGTCCCGGCTGGGGGGCACAGGTGAGACCCCTCCCCAAATTCACAAATCCCCCCAAAAAACCCCAAAAAAATCCCAAAAAAACCTAAAAAAAAAAAATCGAAAAAAAAAACCGCCAAAAAACCCAAAAATCCATCCGAAATCCTTCAAAATGGGGACCCCTCCCCAAAATGGGACCCCGGGAGGATTCAGGGGGTCCCGGCTGGGGGGCACAGGTGAGACCCCTCCCCAAATTCACAAATCCCAAAAAAAAAACCCCAAAAAATCCCAAAAAACCAAAAAAAAACCCGAAAAAACCCCCCCAAAACCCCAAAAATCAACGGGAAATCCCCAAAAATCCCATTGGGACCCCTCCCCAAATTGGGACCAGCTCAGTCTGGGGGGGGGGACAGGTGAGACCCCTCCCCAAATTCCACAAACATCAAAACCCCCCCCAAAAAATTCCATGGGGACCCCAAAGGTTTTGGGGTTTTGGGGGTTTTTTTGGTCATTGTTTTTTGGGGGTTTCGGGGTGAATTTGGGGAGGGGTCTCACCCAGTGTCGTGGATTGGCCGGAAATGTGTTTCTAGGAAAGTCTAAGTCCGGCCAATCAGTGGCCAAATTCAAAATTGGCATTTGATGTGGCCACTAAGAGTCTGGATACGCCTCTGAGAACACACGGGGGGTTAAAAAGCAGGAGATTCCCAAAGAACTGCCTCTTTGGGAATCCGGCGTGGCAGGTGAGCTAACCCCCCAAAAAAACCCCAAAAAACCCCTAAATTAACCCCAAAAAACCCAAAAATCAACGGGAAATCCCCAAAATCCCACTGGGACCCCTCCCCAAATGGAGACCAGCTCAGTCTGAGGGGGGGCACAGGTGAGACCCCTCCCCAAATTCACAAATCCCAAAAAAAA